AAACGTTGTCGTCGTTTTCCATTCCAGACCGGCTCCGTCTTTGCAGTGGCAGCCCACCGACAGAAGGAAGGAGGATCCGGACCGAGAAGGACGAACGGCGCGTCTTCAGGAACGGCACGTGTTTCCACAAGCGTCTCTACGCGGCGACGTTCTCCGAGTCCTCTGCATGTAAGTGATATTTCGCCGGACTAAACTCGACCCCTGGACGTGAGCGAATCCACCGGAAGTTGGGTTGCGTCGGCTAATCAGAAACCTCACTCCAAATAGCTATGGACATTTTAGTTACCAGTTACCGAACGGCTTTGTGTCCATGGCGGAAACGTTTTTATACAATTCCAAATTGCGACAAATTTAAACACAATCCATAGATAAATATATTCGCATGTGTTTGGAAGTTCACGAGAACAGCAGTCTTCATGGCTTACATATAAAATGAGAGGTGAAACTTATCACCAGCATGGTGGTGAGTTCAAATCATTTCCGCGCAACTTCGCTCCCACCTGGACTGGTTTCAAATTTTAGTTCGAAGCCACCATCACTCCATAACCAGTCTTTTGTTTAAAATGCACTTAACCTATTAGGTGCTCGGAGCAGCCCCTCTGAATCATTTTGCGGACAGGGTGACTGCTTCTGATGGTATCCAACGTTGCAAGCAAACCTAAACAATTGTTTCTGTAGTGGCAGACTCATGATGAAAGTGACTTGGTGTTCATAAACTTGTATGATTTTCATAGTATTCTAAGCAACAGGCATTACCCCAGACAAAAAGATTTCGCGCCCGTTACGGGCACAGCCCGAGCAAATCTGGGCACAGCACGGGCGTGTACGGGCTCAGCACGGGCTCAGCACACTCTCCGACACTCCACGGACATTTTTTTCAGTAAACCTACAGTTAAATTATTTTTTCTGCAATTGTAGTCCTTTTGATTGTAAGTACAGAAAAAATAATCAGCAACCTTACAGAAAAGTGGTCAGTTGATAATATTTTCTGCAACTACAGTTATGATCATCAAGCAGAAAAAAATTACTGTGCCATTCTAGTAAAAATGATCTATAAATGTAGGTAAAATGTTCTCTACATACAGATAATATATACAAGAATCAACAGAAAAGATTTTCAAAAGTCAGAATAACTTTTTGGATGTTTCCGCTAAAAGTCACAATTCAACCATCCCTTAAAAGCCGCTTACATTCAGTCCTTTCTTGACTTGTAGAAGCTAAGAATGTTTTGTAGGATCATTTTGACTAAGCGCGTTACCTTCCAATCAGCTTTGTTTGAACGGAGAAAAATTTCACTGAAAATATTTACTGAAGATCACAAAGTAGTCATCGACAAATTGTTTATGAGCACAAACTTTATCTTCTACATTTGCAGAAAATAAAGTCTTTGATTATAAACAAATTTGTCATCATATTTCTACTGACATTGTAAATTTTCTGTAAGTAAGTAAAAGATTGTCTATAATTACCAAATTTGTTACCGCTAATTTATCTGTATCTCATGTAAAATTTATTCGATGTGTTATTGAAAATATTTACTATATCATAGTAACGCTCTAAAATCAGTAAGCCGTAGATTAAATTTTCTACAATATAGAAAAAATAATCAGTGAAGGTCTGAGAGTGCACGGGCACAGCACGGGCAGGTACGGGCGCAGCATCCGAAGGCGGGTCAAGGCTCGAACCCGCATGGGGGCAAATGCGGGCAAGCACGGGCAGATGCGGGCAGATGCGGGCATATGCGGGCAGATGCGGGCACATACGGGCACATACGGGCAGATGCGTCTGCATCCGGAGTGCTTTGAGGTTTGTACCCGAGACCCATTCGTGGGCGAGCTCGGAAAAGCTAAACACGACTAATCGAAGCCTGGAGCAGTGCTGCACGCCTGGAAGCTAAGGTACCATCTTGTGCCGGATGAGCATGGAGGTAGTTTGGGTTGCCTAAGCTACAGGGTGATACGGCTCGTCTATCACCGTACCCAAACTACCTCCATGCTCACCTGGCACGAGATAGTTAGCTTCCAGGCATGCAGCACTGCTCCAGGCTTCGATTACTCGTGTTTAGCTTTTCCGTGCTCGTCTAAGAATGGGTCTTGGGCACAAACATCAAGTCGCTCCGGATGGAGCCGCATCTGTCCGTATGTGCCCGTGTCTGCCCGCATCTGCCCGCATTCGCCCGTGCCTGCCCGCGTCTGCCCGCACCTGCCCGTGCTTGCCCGCACTTGCCCGTGCTTGCCCGCATTTGCCCGTACTTGCCCGCATTTGCCCCCATGCGGGTTCGAGGCTCGACCCGCCTTCGGATGCTGCGCCCGTACCTGCCCGTGCTGTGCCCGTGCTGTGCCCGTGCTGTGCCCGTGCTGAGCCCGTGCTGAGCCCGTACAAGCCCGTGCTGTGCCCAGATTTGCTCGGGCTGTGCCCGTAACGGGCGCGAAATCTTTTTGTCTGGGGTGCACTGGGTATTCAAGTATTGACACACGAATAGTCTCCAATGCACCGACAATTCACGAAGAGTCACCATCACACAGCACAGGAAACAAACTTAATTCTCACGACACACTGCTGTTCTCAAACGACGTGTGGCCATTTTGTCTCCACAACGCAACGACACGCGAGGACTGCCCGTAGAGAACCGACTGCCTTTAACGACTGCAGGCCCTTCCTGAGCTTCTTTTGTTTTCCTCACGGTATTCGCAGTTTTCAAATGGTCGCTTGCCTTTCATGTGATCAGCAGTTAGACGCAATTTTTTATTTCATGACGACTCTTCGAGTACGGTCTGTGCGTTGGAGACTTTTCGTGTGTCAACACTTGAATACCCAGGGGAATGCCTGTTGCTTGGAATACTGTGAAAATCATACAAGTTTTTGAACGCGAAGTTGCCTTCATCATGAGTCTGCCACTGCAGAAACCAATCTATTGGTTTGCTTTCAACGTCGGATACCATGAGAAAAAGTCACACTGTCCACAAAATGATTCCGAAGGGCTGCTCCGAGTCCCTAGTGGGGAGTACATTTTAAGGGGGGACCCTGGTGAAAAAATCGCCAAAATTGACAAAAATAGTATTTCCAAAGTTCAAAGATAAAAATGTGCATAGAAGGTTTCAGATTCAACAGGTTGAACACCTTTAAGCTAAGTGGGTAGTTTCTTTATCATTTGGAAGGAAATAACATTGAGATCAGTTGTCGTTGGCTTCTACGCTCAACTTCACAGCTTTGCTCAGTCGACAAAAAATTTTGTCGTAGAAAGACTTCCTGCGTTCCTGGTTGACACCTACATGAGTCGTCTTGCATGGACTCTATTCATTGATGACTTGTCGACAAATTTTAGTGACGGAATCTTGATATCAGCCCTACTTTTTTTAATAAGCACCTAAAAGCTTTAAAAAAGGGAAAAAAATCACTTTTTTTTTAATGTTAAAATTTGAAAGCTGATATCTCAGGACAGAAGTTTAATTTGATAATTCCGTCACTAAAATCTCTTCTATACATCTTTAGGATAACCCAAAAAAATTTTGAAGACTTTCCGTCCCAATGAAAGACGCAGGAAGATTTTTCGCCAACGCTCTAAAAAACACTAAAAAGCCATTTTTCTCAGAGACTGTTCAACATTTTGGATTGAATTTTGTTTTGGGAACTCACCATAATGACCCTAATAATTAAGCAAAGTTTCAACTTTCTGGGAATATTTTGAAGCCTACTTGAAAGTGTCACCAGGGTCCCCCCTTAAACAAAATACACTGCAAATATAAGTGTAGGACAGGTCGACACTTTAAAGCGTAGACCAGTTCGTCCTACGCTTGCAAGTGTCGACCAGTTGTGTCCGACATTTCGAAGTGTCGACCACACTGTGTCCGACGCCTGCATGTGTAAGACACTGTTTGTCCTACGGCAAATAACACTGAGTTTCCTATTGTGAGCCCACACTTCAGCCGTCGGACATTCTGTGGTCGACACTTGCAGGTGTCGGACAGTGTGTGGTCGACACTTCAAAGTGTTGGACACAACTGGTCGACACTTGCAAGCGTAGGACAAACTGATCCAGGAAGCGGAAGAAGGGGATAACTCAATTTTGGTCATTTTTCAGGAGAAACAAAAAACTGTTAGCAGGGAAAACTAAAACAAAACAAATGAATGTTGCAGATGTTAATAATTTCAAAAAGCATTATTAAAATTTTGGAAAAAAAATCAAAAGTGTAAGGTCACTCCGTAGAGGATTTCTGCGACTTATCACTTTCCGCTGAAATGGAAAACAGAGTCAGCTCACCTTATATTTCCTAAACAAAGAGGAATTTGGAGACAAGTCAAGTGGAACAATAGTCTGCATAAAGTGTATGTTACTCTGGTGTATTTTTTGGACTTAGCTCTTTTTTCCAAATTGAAATTTAAAATTAATGGGGGGTTAAGTTGAGTTGATTCTTTCACTAGATCCATAAAAACACAAGTTGAGTTATATCCTTTTGCCAATTTGTCAAACGGACTCATGTAGACTAAGGTTGAGTTATCTCCATTTTCCAATGAAATTTAGACTGTAAAAGGGGTTAAGTTGAGTTATACCCTTTTTCCATGTGGATTTTCTCCTAAACTGCTTGGAATTCAGTCAAATAATTTGGTGTAATGATGTAAACCATTCTAAGGCACAATAATAAAATAAAAACTCAATTTGGGGATAAGTCAAGTTATTCCCTTCTTCCGCTTCCTGGATCAACTGGTCTACGCTTTGAAGTGTCGACCTGTCCTACACTTGGATTTGCTGTGTACTGGTTTGTGGAGTGATGGTGGCTTTGCACTAAAATTTGAAACGAGTCCATGTGAGAGCGGTGTTGGGCGGAAATGATTTGAACTCACCAACATGCTGGTGATAAGTTTCACCACTCAGTTTTTATGTAAGCCATGAAGACTGCTGATCTCGTGAACGGTTTGTCTGATGAGTCTAGCCTTTGCCGCCCAACTAAATTTCAGTTGTCTCGTCAAAATGAGCATTGTATTTGTCTCGTTGATAGAAACGTGACTGCTTTCCAGCGGGCTCGTGTCACGCTGAAGTTAATATGACAAATGAACCAAGCCTGTCACGGTCGTTGCTTCCTGGATCGTATTTGCCGACATCTGCAGTTAGGACAGTTCTGATTTGACACTAACAGTTAGGATGCCTCCAAAAGTCTGTGGACATGTTTGTCAATGGTTTGGTTTGTGTTCCCGCCATGGACACAATACCGGTCGGTGCCTAGTAACAAAAATGTCCATGGTAATTTGACGTAGGATTTTACTGTGTTTCAGAATGTCCCGCGAGCGTGAGCCCCGTCACCGCACGGCTGGATCGTCAGCGTCCGTGCGTGCTCCACGCGGTGTCTGCAATGGAGAGAAGCGTCTGGAGTGTCCAGTGTGCGAGAAGCAGTTCGCCTCAAGAAGTAAGCTAGAAGCGCACCTTCGGACCCACACCGAGGAGAAGCCCTTCGAGTGCACAGTTTGCAGGAAGAGCTTCACTGAAAGTGGAAATCTCAGAAGGCATCTTCGGACCCACACCGGGGAGAAGCCTTTCGAGTGCGCAGTTTGCAGGCAGAAGTTCAGTCGAAGTGGTAGTCTCAGAGCACACCTTCGCACACACACCGGGGAGAAGCCTTTCGAGTGCAAAGTTTGCAAGAAGAAGTTCACTCAAAGTGGAAGTCTCAGAACGCACCTTCGCACCGACACCGGGGAGAAGCCATTTGAGTGCACAGTTTGCCGGAAGAAGTTCGCTCAAAGTGGAGATCTCAGAGCACACCTTCGCACACACACCGGGGAGAAGCCTTTCGAGTGCAAAGTTTGCAAGAAGAAGTTCGCTCAAAGTGGACATCTTAGAGTACACCTTCGCACCCACACCGGGGAGAAGCCTTTCGAGTGCACAGTTTGCAAGAATAAGTTCAATGAAAGTGGAGATCTTAGAAAGCACCTTCGCACGCACACCGGGGAGAAGCCTTTCGAGTGCACAGTTTGCAGGAATAAGTTCAATGAAAGTGGAGATCTTAGAAAGCATCTTCGCACGCACACCGGGGAGAAGCCTTTCGAGTGCACAGTTTGCAAGAAGAAGTTTGTTCGTAGTGGACATCTTCGAACTCACCTCCTGACGCACACCCGGGACACGCATCGTGAGTGAATAAGTTTGGACGAGCTTTAACTTCAGGACTTTGTTCACACGGCGCATCATTTATGCTATTCACTTTAATCAATTCTGTTTGAAAGAACGTTGGAACAGCGTCAAAGCCATTGTGGCCATGATTCCTATTTTTCTTCAGTGCTCTTGGTACTGCTGTAACTTGTGCCAGTTGACAGATACTCACTGTTTACATTGAATCCAAGCCTTTCATGGTCCTTGTGTGGACGCCTAGTCGCTCCGTGCAATTTCACTGGTTAAGGGAGCAATGGCGCTTTGTGCACGGTTTTTAATTTTTTCCAACTTTTTGTTTTGACCCCAATGAAAAATATTGGCATGAATGCTGAACACTAACAGCGGTACCCTAAAGCACAAACATTTTACAACTATTTCAAAACACAAATTTTTTTTAGCACCTAATCAGGGAGGAATATGGTGCACGTTAAAAAGGTCTGCAAAATTCTGAATGGTGTCACTACGCTCACGATTTCATCTGAAGTTTGATTTTTTTTTTTGCTATCGGTAAGCTGTATCTGAAACAGCATAAAATTCCCTAAAAATGAACCCCAGGGGCCAAAATTGGTCAGAAAATACTGCTATATATTTAGTATCGGACGAGAAAGATTTGTTAGAGACAAGGTAGGTTTACGCCAGATCGCGTCTTGTCGTAACAGGCTTCGCGATGTCTCGCTGCCTGTTCCTCCAATCCGCGCCTGGCGTACCTACCTTGGCCTGCGGCGCTAGCCTGCCTTCGGCAGGCAATTGCTTGTCCATCGTCGGTTACTTCTAACCTACATTCTAGATTCCTTGTAACTTTTTAACTTGTCGGGGCTGGGGGGCTCTGCCCCCCCAGACCCCCCGTCTTCAAGACAGAAGTGATCTGCCTGCAGAAAACTCGATTTTTCGCCGTTTTTTAGGTGTTTTTCGGCTATAAAAACTGAACCAGTTGAGCTAGGATAGTGAAATTTCGCGTGTGCCGAGCCAAGGACATGCCTAAAAAGTGTGCAAAATCTCACCGAGATCGGCCGAGCCGTTCAGGAGGAGTAGTGCGGACAGACACACACACACACAGACAGACAGACAGACAGACAGGAAAAACTTTTCAACCCCAATGGAGTAACAGGCTTCGCTATCGCTCAGCCAATAAGTAAGTTTCCTAGCAGTATTTTTCGACTGATTTTAACCCCTGTGATTCCTTTTGTGGCCAATTTAATGCGCTTTTAAATGCACTTTACCGATGCAAAAGATTTGAAAACTTTGGCTGAAAACGTGCGTGCAGTGACACCATGCATAATTTTGCATTCCTTTTTTACGTGCTTCCTATTCTGCTCTAATCTTTAGCTTAAGCAAAAAATTAAGTTCAGAAGTTGTGGTTAAATGTTTGCCCTTAAGGTCGCCGCCGTTGGACTCCAGCGTTCATGCCAATATTTTTTATTGAGGTGCGAACAGAAAGTTGGAAAAAAATTTAACAAACCGTGCACGAAGTGCTACGACTTTTTTATATGAACTAACAATTTCCTAAGAACTTGTTCTATCCATAATTGGCTCGTGACGCTTTGGTAAAATGCTTAAGCATCTAGATTTTCGTTTTTTTAAAATGTTGATTGTGCTACCTGAGACTGCGTCTAACTGCCACCTTGTCCTCAGAAGCCTCTCGAGAACTCAACCAATTGGTGAAGGTGAAAGCTTCTGTACGAACATTGTTTGGACCAACGGAATAATTCTGTAAATTTTAAAGGGGCGTGACGAATACGTCGAAGCTGAGTGTTTTGTTATGAATTCTTGTACCTTGGAACATTGCTTTTGGATACATTAAACTTGGTTCCTGTTTTGAAGTTCTTGTGTAGTTTCAATTTTCCCTGCCGTCAGTTTTTCGTTTCTTGTGAAAAATGGCGAAAATTGAGTTAACTCCTTCCGCTTCCTGGATCAATCACCGTTTTTTATGAAGGATCAGACGGGTATCAGGCAAGAAATCACTCTTTGTTTACAGGGAAGAAATTGAAAATAAAAAGTTAGCACATAATATTTTCGACCCCTTTTCCCCTTGAGTCTCAAATGGTCACGGACATGACACACCGCTGCTCCCCGTGACGTCACACGCGTCCAGTCATTGGATGCCCGACTAGATAGTCTTAATTAGGTGCCTAAATTGAGATTTCATAAAAATCTGATTGCGTTTTGACAAATCCGGTCCAGTCCGGTCAAACGTTAACTCATGCGGACAACCTGAGCGAAGTGCTGCTGTAATATTTCAGCCAGTGACAATGCGAGCTAAAGTAGCTGCACTGACAAAAATTTTGTCGTAACTTAGCGACACATTTATCGCTAATTTTTTTAGCGACAAGATTTGTTGTGGAACGGATAGCTTGTTAAACCAAACTCGTACTGGAACTAAAGGATAATTTCACAACGACTAACTTGTAATAACACATTAGCAGTCTACTTTCAAATACAAGTCGTTGACCAACAACAAAGTCTTGTAAGTCGAAAAAGATTTTGTAATGTCTGGGACAAGGGTTCTACGACGGTTCACACAAACTTTTTCACATACTGAAGTTTTGCCTAATGTTATTTCACATAGACGGTTTCACACAAATTTTTTCACACAAAGTACCATTTCACATTTACAACGGTTTACACATTGTTCACACAATTTTTGTGTGAACCTATTTATTAGCAGTTCCTTGCCGATTGACTCTCCATATGGCGGCCCTAGAGTACGAAGACCACAGGGAAGACGGTAAGGATGTGCGAATCAAGGATTTTCATTTCGAATCAAAGTCGAATTGAATCTAAAAAAGAAGTTTCGAATCGAATTCGAAAATGTTGTCTAATTAAATCGATCCAAAGTTTAAAGATTAAGAATCGAATCAAGTTCGAACTGAAACAAAGAAAAAAAATCTCAAAAATAGTAGGTTTTAAAACACATTTTCTGTATGAAAAAAGAACATAGGAGCAGGATTTTTTTTTAAATCTAATCTTGCTTATATATAACAAGCTTTTTAGTCGGTCGACCCCCTTTTTTAAAGATCCTGATCTGGCCAACTTGTAAAAGCGGCCGATGGGGTCGGGACCAGGTTTATTCATCTTGTCTCGTCGCCCCGATTCCAAAAATACCCCTATGTGCCCTGCTAGCACCAATAATGGCGGAAATCCCCCTCCCGCTCATGTAAACCATGATGCACCTGCAGCAGCCCTTGTGCGACCCAGACGGGATTTGCACCACCGGATTATTTGTTTGGACGGTACTCCTGAAGTACCCTCCAAATCTGGTTACTCTAGCTCAACTCCTTCCTTGTACACAGACGCCAACAACAACAACAACAACACACAGACACAAAGGCAAATGCATAGGCCCTCCCCCTATTTTTGGCCCGTCCCGTTCATTTTTTGTAAAAAAATGACGGAGGGACGGGCATATAGTATGATCCCTGCTGTGCGTCCGTCCGTCCGTCCGTCCGTCCGTTCGTCCGAGGACTTCCCGTGGTCCGATCTTGACCAAATTTGGTATGCAGCCTCCTTGGGTGACCCTAAGAACCGCCCGGTGGCAGCAAATCCGATCCGAGCCCCGGGGGCGCTGCTGCAGGTGCATCATGGTCTACATGGGGTCGAGGAGGATCTCGGCAACGGATGCAGCTAGGAGGGCATGTAGGGGTATTTTTGGAATCGGGGCGACGAGAGAAAACCAATGGTGCCAGTTTCGAGCGAATCGGAGAAGTTCGGACCCGGGTTCAAACCCCAGCGGGGTATTTTTGGAACATTTTTTTATTCGAGTTTTTGCATTGTTTCTGATGTTTTTGAGGGTGCTGATGACGAAAACGACATTTATTTTAACCCCAGACTCAGGTTTAATTCCCGTCAGGGTCAAACATAGGCGAAATTCGTACGTTTCTTAATGCACGGGACGGGCCAAAGTTGTCGATTTATATCGCTACTTTTCCTGTTATTTGAATAGAAGGGCGGGCCAAAAACAACGCTAAGCGCTTTGTGCGCGGTCTCTTAACCGGTTCCGAATATTCCGGGTCAAAGCAAAGATATCCGTCCCCGAATCGAATCACCCCTGATTCGATACCAAACTATATCCCTAGAAGACGGCCGCTTCTTGGAGTACTTGGCTCGCCGTGGCCACAATTTTACGTAGAAGCCTTGATGGCTTATGGCGTTGGTGGCTCGTGGCCTCGTGCCCCTTGAAACCCTTCGGAATAAATGTGTGTTAACTGGCCTTGTAGGTAAAAAGAGATTTGTGTGAAAAACTTTGTGTGAAACTGTCTATGCGAAATTACATTAGGTGAAACTTCAATATGTGAAAAAATTTGTGTGAACCGTCGTGTTACCCTGGGACAAGTATTCATGGAGTACTTTTGTCGCTAAATTTATTTTGCCTAAATCTTTTTTTAATAATAGTAATGTTGCTATGACTAAAGAAGACCAATAGATGATTATTCATAATATGCTATAATTGAGCAGATAATTTGCAAAAGATTTTGTTTCAATACAAATAGTATCGTTAAGGGTGATGGCAAGAATTTTGTTCTTCAACGACAAAGATTCAACGACATTTCTTTCGCTTTGGTTCATGATAAAATTCTTTGTTTTGGAATGACCAAATTTTCACTTATCTGATTGTTACTTATCTGTTTCAAGGTCGTGCGAGGTAGACTCACTTTGGTCCCTCGGGGAAAGAAAGAGACCGGAAGTCGGGTCGCTTACTGAGAGGATGTTTCTGACCGGTGGACCCATCCGACTTCCGGTGTCTCTATTATTTCTTTACGAAGGATCTGTGGATGCAGCGCGCTAGTCTTCACTGTTCCGTAACCTGTGCGACGGGGGAGGGATTGGACTAGATGGCGGAACGGGGTCAGTGCCGCTGTGATGTGTTGATGCAGGCAGGGGCTGTCCATTCACAAAGGATTCTAAAAATATGAAAAGTTTCTAATAGTTTTTCACAGTGCTCAAAAGACACTTAAACTAATCCACTCACATACGTTAAGGAGGTTACGTTGCCGCGGCGCCAGTTCCTGTTTGACCCTCACTCTTGTTCTTCGATCGGCGACGACCAGAAAGCTCTCTGACGTCACGCACTTGGGGATTTCGGACGCATCAATGTAGCGCAGCGTTACGCTGGGCCAGACCCCGCACCCTCGGTAACAGCGTTACGGAACGCTAAATTTCTCTTGTAAATATCTAAGTTACTTACTGCTTACTGTTATGAAATGTGTTCTCATACTTAACGTGTTAGCGTAACGTTACGCTGGCTCGGCGGCCCCGTCCTCCCATACCGCAGCGTTACGCTGAGCAGATATCCCCTCCCCCTTTCGTCCCTCGATGCATGACGTAATGAGGTATTCCGCCTGACAGGAAAGAAACTGCAAGATAGCCGTCGCTACAACACCGCAAACCCTACCTTAGTTTCGCATTGTTTCTGTGCACATGCGCTGAAGCCCCGACCAGGTAAAAATCCGGAAGCAAGTGAGGGTTTCCTATGTTCCCCGCAGTCATCTTTCAGTTTCTGCCCTTCCTCTTTCAGACGGATTACCTAACTACTGTGGGAGAAGAAAACAGCTTGGCTTCTCTTGAAATTGAGTTTTTAACCTAATAATGTACTTCAAAATGGTTTACATCATTGCAACAAATTTTGGCCAACCCACTCGTTAGCACCTTAAGAGAAATTGCAAGCAATTGTACAGTGCCCTCTTTATTTCTTCGCTGAAATATCGTTACGAAGCAAACGCTTTGTAGACTTTTCTTAGTGTTGTCGTTTTTCATCCAAGACCGTCTCCATCTTTACAGTCGCAGTCCCCCTGACCCAAGGAAGGAGGACATCCTAGTCAAGGCCTTGAACCAGCGAATCTCCCGGAAAGGCCTGTTTCTCGACTAGTGCCTCCACACGGCGACGAGCTCCGAGTCTTCTACAAGTAAGTAATGTTTCGGAGGGCCAACGTCGGTCCCTCGACGCAAGCAAGTTGACCGGCAGCCGGGTTGCGTCGGCAAATCAGAATCCAGCCACTGATGACACGCGTCTCGGAGTCTGGAAAGGGCGCGAGCAACAGCGAAGCGTCAGGGCACTGTAAAGAAACGTCCCCGGTGCTCGAGTGCCAGAGCCGCCGACGTTACCTAATTCAAATAGTAGCTGAGGCACTGTATCTCTCGTTTTAAGCAAAGTTTGGGGTAGGATCAGAAAGTTTTTTTCTTCCGCCCAGAAGGAAGAGGTGCCCAAGAATAATTTTTGAAATGCAGTCTGCGACTTTTCTGCCCGAAGGTCTTCCGCTACACTCGCATCCTTCAATCGACATTTCATCAAAATTCATTGACGTTCTACATGAATTCTAACAAAAATGCTCATACGCTTATTACTGCGCGCTAACGTCAATTCGTCGATAAACCATAACCCAGGACGAGTCTGAGAGAGAGCACTCGATTGACCCGATTTGCCACACAATCGTTCCACGGTATTTCGCATGTTGCTCGTGCCTTGTTGGCGCCGTGACCCGACTTCCGGTCAACCCAAGCATTGCCTCGAAGTACGACGCGAGGGTCAGTGTGGGGAAAATGGGACAGCTAATTCTTAGTCAAGAATCGACATTTTAGTCGGGGGTCGTCAACTTGCATATTACTTCGCACACAAGCTGTATATTACTCGTAATTACTCTTATATTACAGCTAAAAGTCTATAAATTTTACCTATTAGGCTACTCAGATCATAGGTAGCACAAAAATATCGGCCTAAAAACGGTAATATGGGGTGTACATTATCCTATATTACTGTATGACTTCGTACACGCGCGATGTGACTTGAAGACCCCTCGATTTTAGTACTTCTGCCGTAGCAAATGTTATTTTCTTAATAAAAACATCACATTTGGTATTTGTTGTGCGTTCTAAAATGTCAAACCTTGACTAAGAATCAGCTGTCCCAATTACCCCAACTGACCGCAAGGCCTTCATTCTCTTCGTAGTTTTGAAGCAGGAGTCTAGTTGAGATGTATCCATTTTTCATTTGGATTCTTTCCGAAACTGTTTTGTATTGAGTCTAATAATTTGGTGTGCTGATGCGAACCATCCCGAGGCACAATATTAAGATTAAAAGCCAATTGAGCATTCTAGTCGTCGCCGATCGAAGAACAAGAAGAACAAATTTGGTTTTGTTCTTCGATCGGCGGCGACTAGAAAACTCTATTTGGATGTAAGTCGAATTATTCCCTTCTTCCGCTTCCTGAATCAATGATTGTGAATACTTAGGAACTAATTTGCTTATAGTTGGACTAAAAACTATTCCTGTGGACACATCGAATTTTAGGGACAATATTGAAACCAACGTTAACATGATAATCCATGGCTTTTATGATACTATGCATAGATGTTCACAACTTTGTCCATCGGCGCGACACATCACTTTGCCTCCAGAGCAAGGGAGGAAAATAAGAATACGGCTCAAGGACAAATTTGTTTCATTATTTGAGACTTTTTTATGGACATTATCGTGAACCTTGTTACGGACGTCTGTGAACAATTAAGCGCTGAGCTTGTATACAAAAATGCTTTCGAAAGCCTGTGGACATATTTGTCTAGGGTTTGCGTCTAAATTTGTCGCCGTTTCGTAACGTATCTAAAATCACGTTTCCGCCATGGACACTATGCCGTTCGGTACCTGGTGACAGAAATGTCCAGGATATTTGATAAGTGGTACTTTACTGTGTTTCAGGATGTCCCGCGAGCGTGAGCCCCGTCACCGCACAGCTGGATCGTCAGCGTCCGTGCGTGCTCCACGCGGTGTCTGCAATGGAGAGAAGCGTCTGGAGTGCCCAGTGTGCGAGAAGCAGTTCGCCTTTAGAAGTCAACTAGAAAGGCACCTTCAGACCCACACCGAGGAGATGCCTTTCGATTGCACAGTTTGCAAGAAGAAGTTCGCTAACAATGCACATCTCCGAACGCACCTTCGCATCCACACTGGGGAGAAGCCTTTCGAGTGCACAGTTTGCCAGAAGAAGTTCAATGAAAGTGGTAATCTCAGAAGGCACCTTCGCATCCACACCGGGGAGAAGCCTTTCGAGTGCACAGTTTGCAAGAAGAAGTTCGCTAACAATGGAGATCTCCGAACGCACCTTCGCATTCACACTGGGGAGAAGCCTTTCGAGTGCACAGTTTGCAAGAAGAAGTTCAATCAAAGTGGATATCTCAGAACGCACCTTCGCACGCACACCGGGGAGAAGCCTTTTCAGTGCACAGTTTGCGGGCAGAAGTTCAGTCAAAGTGGAGGTCTCAGAACGCATCTTCGGACCCACACCGGGGAGAAGCCTTTTGAGTGCGTAGTTTGCAAGAAGAGCTTCAATGAATGTGGAAGTCTCAGAAAGCACCTTCGCATCCACACCGGGGAGAAGCCTTTCGAGTGCACAGTTTGCAACAAGAAGTTCACTGAAAGTGGAAGTCTCAGAACGCATCTTCGAATCCACACCGGGGAGAAGCCTTTCGAGTGCACAGTTTGCAAGAAGAAGTTCACTAAAAGTGGACACCTTAGAGGTCACCTCCGCATCCACACTGGGGAGAAGCCTTTCGAGTGCACAGTGTGCAAGAAGAAGTTTGTTCAAAGTGCACATCTTCGTACACACCTTCTGACGCACAGCGGGGACAAGCATCGTGAGTGAATAAGTTTGGACGAGCTTTATCTCCAGGACAATGTTCATACGGCGCATCATTTATGCTATTCACATTAATCAATTCTGTTTGAGAGAACGTTGGAACAGCGCCAAAGCCATTGTGGCCATGATTCCTATTTTTCTTCAGTGCTCTTGGTACTGCTGTAACTTATGCCAGTTGACAAATACTCACTGTTAACATTGAATCCAAGCCTTTTATGGTCCTTGTGTGGACACCTAGTCGCTCGGTGCAATTTCACTGGTTAAGGGAGCAGTGGCGCTTTGTGCACGGATTTTAATTTTTTCCAACTTTTTGTTTTGACCTCAATGAAAAATATTGGCATGAATGCTGAACACTAACAGCGGTACCCTAAAGCACAATTATTTTACAACTATTTCAAAACACAATTTGTTTTAGCACCCAATCAGGGAGGAATATGGTGCACCTTAAAAAGGTCTGCAAAATCATGAATGGTGTCACTACGCTCACAACTTCAGCCGAAGTTTCTTTTTTTTTTGGCTATCGGTAAGCTGTACCTGAAACAGCATAACTTTCCCACAAAATGAATCCCAGGAGCCAAAACTGGGCGGAAAATACTGCTATATATTTAGTATCGGACGAGAAAGATTTGTTAAAGTTAATTAACTTTTCTAGGAGTATTTTTCGTCTGATTTTAATTCCTTAGGTTCATTTTGCGGTCAATTTTATGCGCTTTCAAATGCACTTTACCGATTACAAAAGAGTTGACAGCTTTGGCTAAAAACGTGCGTGCAGTGACACCATGCATAATTTTGCATTCCTTTTTTACGTGCTTCCCATTCTGCCCTAATTTTTTGCTTAAGCAAAAAAATTAGTTCTGAAGTTGCGGTTAAATGTTTGCCCATAAACATGGTCACCGCCGTTTGACTCCAGCGTTCATGCCAATATTTTTTATTGAGGTGCAAACAGAAAGTTGGAAAAAAATTGAAAAAACCGTGCAGGAAGTGCTTCGACTTTTTTTAATACATGAAATAACTGTTTCCTAATAACTTGTTTTATCCAAAATTGGTTTGTGACGCTTTGGTAAAATGCTTTAGCATCTAGATCTAAGTTTTTTTTATGTTGATTGTGCTACCTGAGACTGCGTCTTACTGCGACCTTGTCCTCAGAAGCCTCTCGAGAACGCAACGAATAGGTGAATGTGAAAGCTTCTGTACGAACATTGTTTGGACCAACGGAATAATTCTGTAAATTTGAAAAGGGCGTGACAAATACGTCGAAGCTTCGTTTTTTGTTTTGAATTCTTGTACCTTGGAACATTGCTTTTGGATACATTAAACTTGGTTCGTGTTTTTAATTTCTTGAAGGTGTCTTATTTAGTTTCAGCTTTTCCCTGCCAAAACGTTTTTGTTTCTTCTGAAAAATGGCTAAAATGGAGTCAATTCCTTTTTCGCTTCCTGGATCAATCACCCTTGATTATGAAGGTTCAGACGGGTATCAGGCAAGAATCCAATGTTTGTTTACCGGGAAGCAATTGAAAAAAATTCCAATGCTAATCGCATTGCACGGTGTTCCCGTTTCCATAACTGGTTGAAAATCGAGGAAAACATGACAAGACAACCGCAGCCTTTGAGAGCATGCCAAACAATCCAACCTCAGCAACAATGGAGGGGCAGTTTCAATGGGCGCCTGTTCGTTCTTTCAGCCTCGCGATTTTCGAAAGGGCGCAGACGGCAAGCATATTGGTGCCAACCCACGAAAATTAATTTGATGTGTCGTTTCTGCTACGAACTTTTTAGTAGTGACAGACTTTAAAGATGTTCCAACGTTGAGACACCGTGCAGTGTGTTAGCATTAGCATTTTCGAATTTCACGGCGTTTAGATTTTTTTTAAGGGGAGGTTCTGGCGAAAATCTTGCCATTTTCAAAATGGATCCCAGTGTCATAATTTGTTCGGAATATAAAATCTTTCTTTGAGGAGACTAAAATTTGATTTTTGAAGGCACATCCCAGGCTCTGAACCCAGTCGAAGAGTCTTTTTGATCATATTTAGGCTGTATCTTAAAAAATCTCCTTGCGCATACTATTTTGTCGTAAAAGGTTGACCTTGACATTTTTCACTTCTTCGATTCATTTTCCAAAAATGCCGGCATGCATAGCTCAAAATCTCCATTATATTATTAACTATAAGCTTTTTAAGGCCAGGGACAGGTGAAAAAATGATCTCAGAAACTGCTGGTCCAAAACTTCTTATTTTCTGTCAAAATCTTACTCTTGATGATAAACTATTTCACCCAAAATCCCATCCCATAATATCAAGCGGTTCCTGAGATACAGGCTTTTTTATAATTTTTTAAGTGTTTGTTAAAAAATTCCTGTGCGTTTCCCATTTTGGGTTATTGACCTGACCGACATATTTTTTTGTTCGTCTAAGTCCAAAGAACAAACGCAAGTGACAGATTTTAGTTTCCGGCACTGATAGCAAAATACCAACTTTTCAATTTTGATATTTTTCAAAAACCAAAGATTTTCCCTTTTTTTGTAAAAACCGATATCCAAAACCATACTTCTGGGTGGAATATACAAAAACTGTCACTTGTGTTTCCTCGCAATAACCTACTGAGTCAGTGGAAAAAATATCATTGACGACACTTCAAACTGTATGCGCACAGGACCATTCAAATGTTTAAAAAATGTCTTCGGAGAAAAGGGCGTTTAAAGTTTGGTGACAGATTTTAATGGATTTTCAGCCAAAAAAATCTCCTTGCGCATACTATTTTGTCGTAAAAGGTTGACCTGGATATTTTTCACTTCTTCGATTCATTTTTAAAAGATCCCAGCATGCACAACTGAAAATGTCCATTACATTATCATTGGCAAGCTTCTAAAGCATGCATTTCACTTTAATTGATCAACAATGTACAAAATAGACAAGTTTAAGTGACTTCTTAGATGAAAAAAGCATGTGATTACTAATATAATGGAAATTTTGAACTAGGCATGCTGGAATCTTTTTAAAATGAATCGAAGAAGTGCAAAATGTGAAGATAAGCCTTTTACGTCAAAATAGTATGCGCAAGAGGATTGTTCAAGATATGGCTAAATAAAGCCAAAACAGTCCAAAAAAGACAATTCGACTGGGTTCAAGACCTAGCATATGCCTTCAAAAATCAAATCTTAGTCTCTTTGAAGTATGATTTCATATTCCCAACAAATTAGGACAGTGGGGTTCATTTTGAAAATAGCAAGATTTTCGCTAGACCCCCCCCCCCCTCCCCCCTTGATGGCAAAACGGACAATTTTACTAAAGTGTCGTAAATGCAGGAGTGTGCGAAAAGATGTATTTTAAGCACTTCCAGGTCCCGGATAGTCGAAGTCCCGACAGATCCTGAAAGAGGAAGGTCCAAAGGACCATTTTCCACCCAGAACTCATTTCATTCAATTTCACCAAACTTCTTCATTTTTTCACCTGTCCCTGGCCTTAAGCGGAAAAGTCCCTAAAATTTGTCTATTTTGTACATTTTTGATCAATTATAGTGAAATGATTGGTTAGAAAGCTTGCGAATGAAAATGTAGTTTACGTTTTGAGTTGTGCATGCCGGCATCTTTTAAAAATGAATCGAAGAAGTGAAAAATGTCAAGGCCAACCTTTTACGACAAAATAGTATGCGCAGGAAGATTTTTAAAGTTATAGCCTAAATAGGAGAAAAAGGCTCTGCGGCTGGCTTCAGGGCATAAAATGTGAGTCCCCCATGAAAATTTTTAATAATAACTTGGTAAGACATCAAATTCTTAACTGATTTTCACAGTGGGACCTATTTAGGAGAAAATAGCATTTTCACCAGAACCTCCCCTTAATGGGCGACTTCAAATTTTGACGGGTGGTACGATGGGACCATGCCGTTGCCATGGAGATTTTTTTTCATGTTTTGACCATTTGCTCAGAACATCTATGATTTCTTGTTACTTTGATGAGCCAGGAGGTTTAGTTTTGAGGAGTGGCACATTTTTTATTTGAACCATTTTTTCATATCATTAACGGTTCTCGTTTTCGATTGTTGAAAATTTATTTTTTCGCGTTTACGGAAAATTTCCACGATAAATTTTTCAAAAAAAATTTGGGAAATTTTTCTTTTTTTTTTCATGGTTGAAATATTTTAAATTGTTTATTTGAAATCGGAGGGGGGGGGGGAAAGAATCCACGGACCTCGGACAATAGGGGTTCTTGGGAACCCCTAAAAAAGAGTTATCACATATTATTTTTGACCCCTTCTTCCCTTGAGTCTCAAACGGCCACGGTTATGACACACCCTGACACCCTTCCTCGTGACGTCACATGTGTCCAAGTCATTGTTCTTGGCACCGGGGATACGCGACTAGGTTGTCTTCTTAGGTGCCCAAATTGAGATTTCCCGCGTAGAAATGTACGGCTTTTATACGGCTGCTAGATATTTTGTGATCAAAAAACCGCAGGCGTTCGAAAAATACCGGCTAATGTTTGGACTGTGTCAGGAAGATTTGACAAAATATTCGGATTTTGTGGACGTTTTGCCAGTCCTGGCCGACCGCTTTTCACGTCGTTTTAAATGACCTTAAAAAATGTCCAGAAGGCAAAGACAAAAAATCGGCAAAGAGCTGCCGCATCGCTGGCCGCGCGGCAAAAAAGAAGCCACCGGCGTCGATCCACTAACCTGTCGCTTGCGAGACAAGAGCGAATCCGCTGGGCCAGGGCGTCTTCGCTGAAGACGGTTCGCAGCTGACGGTCGTATACGCATCCACGACCGCGTGGACTCAGCCGGTCCCTGCCCCAGATCAAGCCTATGATCCAGCGAACACTTTTGATGACCGCGGCAATAACAGCTACGTAGTCTGGGGCTGGACGCGGGGACCTGCGGCCCTGCCGTGGAATGGGAGGAAAGAGATGTAAGTTCGCACAGCCCAGCTCTTGTCACGCTCTAGCGCGAACTTTCATCTCTTTCTCCCATTCGTTCACAGCAGGTCCACGGTCCAGCCCTGGACTACGTAGCTGTTATTGCCGCCGTCATAAACAGTGTTCGCTGGATCATAGGTTTGATCTGGGGCAGGGCCCGGGCTGAGTCCACGCGGTCGTGGATGCGAAACGGCCCGCTCAGCTGCGAACCGTTTTCAGCGAAGACGCCCTGGCCCAGCGGATTCGCTCTTGTCTCGCAAGGACAGGTTAGGGGATCGACGCCGGGGGCTTCTCTTTTGCCGCTGCGGCCAGCGATGCGGCAGCTCTTTGCCGATATTTTGTCTTTCCCTTTCGGGACATCTTTTTAGGTCATTTAAAAGACGTCAAAAAGCGGTCGGCCAGAGACGGGCAAACGTCCACAAAAATCCGAATATTTTGTCAACATTTTCCTGACACAGTCCAAACATTAGCCGGGTATTTTTCGAACGCCTGCGCGTTACTTTGATCACAAAATATCTAGCAGCCGTATAAAAGCCGTACATTTCTACGCGGGTTCATAAAAATTTGATTGCGTATTGACAAATCCGGTCGGATCCACTTGCATCCACTTGTTCGAAAAAATCTGAACAAAGTGCAGCTGTAATACTTCAGCCAGTGACAATTTGCGCAGAAGTACACTGCAAGAAAAAGTGTGGATAGTACAACAAAATTACAACAACTGTACAATAAAAGTACAACGAGAATTGTACAAACCACAACGAGCCCTGGACGGCACAGCACTCATCATGCCGGCTCAATTGTACTTTGTACAACAATTGTTGTACTTGAAGGGTATATTAAATTCCTGATAAAAAATTAGCCAGAAATTTGTGTACCTTTGTTGTGGTTATTTCCTGCATCACGCTTAGCGTGATGTCACAAAAAACTGTGATGTCCCGTGCCAACTTGTACATGAATAAACTTAAGTGTGTGTACTTCCTTTTCTCGTTCACGTCCACTTCGGGCTCTCTTTCGATACTGGCTGGCCTACCCGGATTTCGCTTGGCCCACACAGCTTGCCTACACTGAAGAACATCGAGCGGGTGAGTACGCAGCACCGCCCTCGATTCGAACGTTACTGTTGTTCATCAAAGACCGTGCATCTTTGTTGTCGTCCTGAAGGAAGGAGTAACCCAAACAGGCTTTGGACGGCGATTGGTCAGCAAGGCACGTTTTCCGACTAGGGTCTGTACACGGCGACGTGCTCACCGAGGGGGTAAACACTCCAAGAGATCGTGTACAGAGTACTCGGTATTACGCGGTATTACGCTGTATTACGGGGATATTACACGTGTATTACAGCATTAAAATGCCAAAATTTGGCACATTTTGCCCCAAAATGGTATTTAAATTATGTGTATTACGCGTAATACACGGTTTTTGTGTACAGGGTATTACACGAGTGTTTACCCCCTCGGTGCTCACAGTCTTCTACTTGTAAGTAATGTTTCGCCGGCCAACCTCGGCCCGTCGACACAGGCAAATTGGCCGGAAGTCGGGCCAGAAACCAGCCACTGATGACAGGCGGCTCGTTTTCTCAAGCGGCAACGCAACCCGACCTCCGGTAAATTTTAATCTTTTCGGCGTTCAAGGTCGTGCGAGGTAGACTCACTTCGGTCCCTCGGAGAAAGAAAGAGACCGGAAGTCGCGTCGCTTACTGAGAGGATGTTTCTTACCGGCGGACCCATCCGACTTCCGGTGTCTCTATTCTTTCTTTACGAAGGATCTGTGGATGCAGCGCGCTAGTGTGCACTGCTCCGAAACATGTGCGACGAGGGAGGGATTGGACTGGATGCCGGAATGGGGTCGGTGCAGCTGTGATGTGTTGATCCAGTCAGAGGCTGTTCAAACACAGCGGATTTTAGGTATTTAAAAAGTTTATATTAATTTTTCACAGTGTTGATAAGTCACTTAAACTTATCCCCTCACACAAGTCAAGGACGAGGGGGTAAACACTCCAAGAGATCGTGTACAGAGTACTCGGTATTACGCGGTATTACGCTGTATTACGGGGATATTACACGTGTATTACAGCATTAAAATGCCAAAATTTGGCACATTTTGCCCCAAAATGGTATTTAAATTATGTGTATTACGCGTAATACACGGTTTTTGTGTACAGGGTATTACACGAGTGTTTACCCCCTCGGTCAAGGAGGTTATGTTGCCGGCGCCAGTTCCCGTTTGACGGGACTCTTGTTCCCGTTTGAGGGAACTCTTGTTCTTCGATCGTCTACGACCAGAAAGCTGTCTGACGTCACGCACTCGGGGCTTTCGGACGCATCAATGTAGCGCAGCGTTACGCACGGCCAGACCCCTCACCCCCGGTACCAGCGTAACGGCACGCTTAATTTCTCTTGAAAATACTAAAGTTATCCTCTCTTACTGCTCACTCTGATGAAATGTATTCTCGTACTTAATGTGTTAGCGTAACGTTACGCTCGCTCGGAGCCCCCGTCCTCCTATACCGCAGCGTTACGCTGAGCAGACAACCCCTCCCCTTTCGCCCCTCGATGCATGACGTAATGAGGTATTCCAACCTACTAATGTACTTCAAAATCGTTTACATCATTACAACAAATTTTGGCCAACCCACTCGTTAGCAGCTTAAGAGAAATTTCAAGCAATTGTTCAGTGCCCTCTTTTTCTTCGCATAGCTAAATATCGTTACGAAGCAAACGCTTTGTAGACTATTTTGAGTGTTGTCGTTTTTCATTCAAGACCGACTCCATCTTTCCAGTCGCAGTCGCCCTGAGCCAAGGAAGGACATCCTAGCCAAGGCCTTGAAGCAGCGTATCTCCAGGAAAGGCCTGTTTCTCGACTAGTGCCTCCACACGGCGACGAGCTCCGAGTCTCCTACAAGTAAGTAACATTTCGCCGGGCCAACGTCGGTCCCTCGACGCAAGCAAGTTGACCGGCAGCCAGGTTGCGTCGGCAAATCAGATTCCAGCCACTGATGACACGCGGCTCGGTGTCTGGATAGGGCGCGAGCAACAGCGAACCGTCAGGGCACTGCAAAGAAACGTCCCCGATGCTCGAGTGCCAGAGCGGCCGACGTTACGTAATTCAAATAGTAGCTGCGCCAATGTGTCCCTCCTTTAAAGCAAAGTTTGGGGTAAGATCAGAAAGTTTTTTTACTTCCGCCTAGAGGGAAGAGGTGCCTAAGAATTATTTTTGAAACGTAGTCTGCGACTTTTCTGCCCGAAGGTCTTCTGCTACACTCGCATCCTTCAATCGACTTTTATCAATATTCAATGACGTTCGTGCGCATTTATAGAGTTTTGCATGTCAAAAAATTGTTAAGACGAAATTGATGAAATGTTTATAATTCTAACAAAGATTCTCATACGCTTTTTACTGCGCGCTAACGTCAATTCGTCGATAAACCATAACCCAGGACGAGTCTGAGAGAGAGCACTCGATTGACCCGATTTGCCACACAATCGTTCCACGGTATTTCGCATGTTGCTCGTGCCTTGTTGGCGCCGTGACCCGACTTCCGGTCAACCCAAGAATTGCCTCGAAGTACGACGCGAGGGTCAGTGTGGGGAAAATGGGACAGCTAATTCTTGTTAGAGACTTTTTTATGGACATTATCGTGAACCTTGTTACGGACGTCTGTGAACAATTTAGCGCTGAGCTTGTATACAAAAATGCTTTCGAAAGCCTGTGGACATATTTGTCTAGGGTTTGCGTCTAAATTTGTCGCCGTTTCGTAACGTATCTAAAATCACGTTTCCGCCATGGACACTATGCCGTTCGGTACCTGGTGACAGAAATGTCCAGGATATTTGATAAGTGGTACTTTACTGTGTTTCAGGATGTCCCGCGAGCGTGAGCCCCGTCACCGCACAGCTGGATCGTCAGCGTCCGTGCGTGCTCCACGCGGTGTCTGCAATGGAGAGAAGCGTCTGGAGTGCCCAGTGTGCGAGAAGCAGTTCGCGTTTAGAAGTCAACTAGAAAGGCACCTTCAGACCCACACCGAGGAGATGCCTTTCGATTGCACAGTTTGCAAGAAGAAGTTCAATGAAAGTGGTAATCTCAGAAGGCACTTTCGCATCCACACCGGGGAGAAGCCTTTCGAGTGCACAGTTTGCAAGAAGAAGTTCGCTAAGAATGGAGATCTCCGAACGCACCTTCGCATTCACACTGGGGAGAAGCCTTTCGAGTGCACAGTTTGCAAGAAGAAGTTCAATGAAAGTGGTAATCTCAGAAGGCACCTTCGCACCCACACCGGGGAGAAGCCTTTCGAGTGCACAGTTTGCAAGAAGAAGTTCAATCAAAGTGGATATCTCAGAACGCACCTTCGCACCCACATCGGGGAGAAGCCTTTCGAGTGCACAGTTTGCAATAAGAAGTTCGCTCTAAGTGGACACCTTAGCGAACACGTCCACATCCACACTGGGAAGAAGCCTTTCGAGTGCACCGTTTGCAAGAAGAAGTTTGTTCAAAGTGGACAGCTTCGAAGGCACCTTCTGACGCATACCAAGGATACGCATTAGACTGAATAATTTCGACGACCTTAATTTTAATGACATTATTCATACGGCGCATCATTTATGCTAGTTTATTAAATCAATAATTCTGTTCGAAAGAACGTGGGAACTGCTCTGTAGTTACTATGGTCAGAACTCCTGCGGCTCTTTTATGTTTTTCGTGCGGGTGTAACTAGGGCTACTTGACCAATACTCTCTGTTTACATCAAGTCCAAGCTGTTCATTGTCCTTGTGAGGACGCCTGTTCGTTCCGTGCAATTTCACTGATTGCATGCATTGACATTTCCCAAAAACATGTGTTATGCAAAATTTGCTTGTGACGTTTTGGAAAAATGCTTTAGTTTTTAGATTTTGGGTTTACTTTCAAGTCGATTGTGCTACCCGAGAGTGCTGCTTAACTTCGAACTTGTCATCAGAAGCCTCTCAAGCACTTGGTGGAGGTCAAGCTTCTGTTTCAACATTGCTGAGACGAACGGGTAAATTAGGTTTATTTTTTAAGGGCGTGATGAGTCTCTTGAAGCTCAGTGTTTTGTTTTGAATTGTTTCGCATTGAAACATTGTTTTGAAAACATTAAACTTGATTCGTATTTTGGATTTCATGAAGATGTCTTGATAATCTGGACCCTCTCACACTCAGTTCTTTCGAAACATACAAGCAGGGTAAACGGACAAGGCATGGTCGCACCGTATCTGTCTCTTTTGTCTTTATTCCCTGGACGGAAGAAGTGGTACTCCAGGCAGCAACTCCCGCCAACATGTATCACATTAGTATGATGTCCAACAGCAAACGACACAGAGCCCATTCGACAGTCATTTTTTTCTTGCGTCTTAAGATTTGCACTCGGATGAAGCTGACACACGCAGTCGCCGGATAGATTCTATTGCCGACATCAAGGTGCGCTTCTTGACGCCTCTACCCGGTGACCCCGTGCTTGAGTTGAGCAAGGGGCAGTGGCTGGTCTCCTTGCAATGCACGCAGATTTCCTAAGACGTGCAGCCACGGCGCAGACCGGTGCAAGCTGCCAAAATTCCGGACGCGTTTTGAGCTCCAGAGTCACTAATCGGGACTCGAACGGAACGTGTGGCCCGGCCCCACCAATGGATTGCCCTCCGAAGGAGGAATCCTTTGGTGGTGTCACACGTTCGGTTCGAGTCCTGTTAAGCTGTAGAGCTCTCAACGCGCTGGTTTTCTGGCCCGACTTCCTTGCGCTGGACCCACGTGAGAGACAGAGATCCGACCTGTCTGAATCCCTAGCCAAGGACGTAACGTGGCTCGGGAAAGTCGTCACTGAAACGAGGGCGTACACTTCGTGGAATCGAGCACAGACTGCTGCGCTGTATTTGGGCGGCATTCCGCGAGTTGCACGGCATTGAAGTGCGTTAATGTGGTCACATCTCGCCGCGAAACAGTGTTAAGCTTCACTGCAAAGCGGTGGTATGTTTGCCTGCCACAAAATTGGCAAGCCGTTTTGAATGCCAAAAATTGGTCAGCTTTTGTCGGAAATCTTCAATGGCTGGCCAAAGTTTGGCTAGCTGCGGAAGGGGTAGGCCAAGCTTTGCAATTTTTGGGCATTGAAAACGGCTTGCCATTTTTGTGGCAAGCAAACTTACCACCGGCTTTGCAGTGTTACGTGTATCACGCGTAGCACAAGGCTTGTGTGTACTTGTCACATTACGCGAGTGCACATCCCCTCGCCTCAAGCGCCGATCCAGAGAGGGCAGGAGGACCACACATGCACAGCCGGACCCCAAGATAACCGCCTGAACGGTACTCAGTCCACGCGTGAGAGTCTTACACAATTTGGCGTGGCGGGAAGGACGTCACTGCAAAGAATTCCGTGGTTTGGTGCGGAAAATGTACGGAAAAATGGGGTACGGAAAAGGTGCGGACCTTCCGTACTGGTTCTCTGTGGTCTCCATAAGGATCTCATGTAAACTGGTACGGAAAAAAATGTACAGAACTTTCGTGGTTGGCAAGGTACGGACGGTCCAGGTTAAAAATTGACCAGACACGTTCCGTCCCTTTTCCGTCCTTTTTTCTACCAGTGATTATCCCACTCTTGTAAGTGTGGGAGACGGTTTGTCCGGCACTTCCTGCTCTTGCACCGAGAATCCAAGTGCTTTAGCGTCAATTGGTGCAATGCGCGCCCTGGGGTGGTCTGCGAGGGCAAGGGTTCACCGGACCTAGCCGGCGGCTCTTGCCCTTGATAATACATTCACAATCTACATTTCTATGACAATATATAAAAAATTTACAGTGTAGAGGGGGGGGGGCGATCTTCGAGGTCACGCCACCGACCTGCTGACGGTGCGTCCGTCGGCCAGTGCAGTGCTGACCGTGCACTGACGGCCGTGCTCGCGGGGCGCTGGGCCTTCGCCGTTGGCAGTGTGCCTCCGGCGTCGGTGCAGGCAGGTCGTTGCTGCTGCGTGCGGGGCAGCCGCGCGTCTCTCGAAGTCCGTCTTCTTCGTCGCCCAGCTGGAGCCGTTGTTGGGGTTGGTGGGCACGCGCGGGGGCCGTACGTCTTGAAGCGCCTGGAGGGAAGGCAACCCGCGGGGCTCCAGTGCGCCCGGACACGGTAGGTTGCTTACCCGGAAGGGGCGCTTGACACCCGGAACCTGCATTAGGTCGGGAAGGGCGCCCAGTCCGAGCTGGGTGCGCTGAACACCTTTTAACTGTGAAAAAGGGTGTTGCAGGGGTCCACTGAAATGGTTCGTTCTCGAGAACGGTTCAAAACGTATTTAGTGGTCAACATTTCTGATCAGAGGAACGTTCAAGGTAAGTTTTAATTAAGGTTATTGTAAAGTGAAAAAAGTGGCTACATCACATTTTGAACTTGTGTCCGCGGGAAAAGGATCATATATGTTTCATATATGGTACATATATGAGTATATATGATTCATATATGGTACATATATGAGTGTATGTGATTCATATATGACGAGACACACGCCATATATGAAAGTCCATCCTCCATATATGTATCATATCTGTATTTTTATATCATATATGCAAAAATTTGGCCTTATGTTTCATATATTTTCATATATGATATTCTAGCACATATATGACTTTTTAAGGGAAATTTTGGCAATTTGTCACATATATGGCCTATATATGACCCTTCAGCTTCATATATAAAGTCCCTAGACACATATATGGGGATTTCATCATCTATATAAAAATGTTCTTGTCATATATGTACAATATATGACCATTCCACTTCATATATGGTGTTCCTAGATACACATATGAGGATTGCATCATCATATATGAACATGGTCTGGTCATATATGTACCATATATGTACCATTTTGACAATGTCTAGGTTCGCGGCCGCCCATCATTTATTTTCTAAGTCCCCCCAA